TGGTGGGGCGCAGGGGGCTAGTGGAGGCGGGAGGACGAGATGGAACCCGCCAGCCCCTCTGCTCAGGTCCAGAGGGGACAAATGGGGCCATAACTATCTATTTTTTAAAAATATATCTATATATACAGAGGTCACCATAGGCAGGAGGGCACGGGAGCAGGTCCTTGCTTGCCAAGAGGAAAATAAGGGACAACATAGGTCCTACCTCCTGCTTTGGGTTGGAAAACATGATGGCTGCTTTATTAATACCTGTAATAACAACACTAATTAAGGAAGGTGTGGGATGACTTGGGCATCCTTCCAATGGCCTGGGTGACAGGGTAAATGCTGAAAGCCCTGATACTAGAGATAGAGATGGTAGCAGGATTTCTCTGCTCCTCTTCTCTGCCTCATAGAAGAATTAAAACCAACTGCCCCTGGTTTTTAAAACCCCGTATCCGTCAGCTTACAAAGCACTGTGCAATTTGGGGTTTGCAAAAACACAACTCCCCAGAACCTGATGGAAGCTCCTTCCCCTCTGAAATCCAGATCTTAACTCGCGCACAAAAGTAGGATGGGACTTTTTTGGACAGCCCACGCAATGCTCCAGCCAGCTGGGGTGCCCCCGGGGAAGAGGGCAGGCACAGCCCTGGGAAACCCACCCCGAAACAAAGGACTCGCGCCAGGCAGTCAAGCAGGCTGTGATTTACTGGGACAACAACACGGCTGCAACAGAGAACACGGCTGCACCAAGGCACCCGGCTGGCAAACCCGCAGCGCCGCCGAGCATCGCCACGCTGGGACCCCGGAGAGGTGACACCGAGAGCGGAGAGCGGAGGGATGCTCGTGGTTCCTGGCGCTGGTTTCCCTCCCGTCTGCCGCACAGACACACAGACACAAAACAGAAACCTGCTGAAACACGGCAAGGCTGCTACACGCCAAGGGAGGGAGCGAAAGGCAACAGGTTTCGGAAGGGCTCCACAGGCATTGCAGCCACGCCGGAGGCGACGGCGTGCGATTCCCTCCATAGGCACTTGGATCCGTGGAGCTGCCGCCGGCCGGATCCTGCAGAAAAGCCCGTCCCGGGGGCCACCAGGCAGGGCCCAACGCCGCCGGGGCCAGGCAGCGAGCTTGATGCCTCTCCAGTCGGCAGAGAGCAAATTGGGAGGCCCTGGGGGTGAGGGCACCCAGCTCCTTGTGCGGGGCGCGGGGCGGTGACGGTGAGTGTCCCCATGCCTGCCGGGGTTCCCAGGCGGCAGGTTTAAGGAGACTCACCCCCTTCGTGTCCTGGGACGGACCATCCTGGAGCATCCTCCAATGCCGAGCTGGCCACGGCAGCTGGGCAGAGGCGCTGGCAGCTTGCACGGAGCAGGTCGGGGCCGGAGAAGCGAGAGCAGCGGTGAGAGCAGCGTCAGGCTCCGAAACGGGGTCACCCTCTTTATCCCCTTTTCCTTCCCTGAAAGCCAAGGGGATGTAGGAAGTGCTGCAGCGATGCCGCACACTCACCCCTGAATGCAGAACAAGGGACCCGTTGACTCCAGGAGCCCCCAAAGTCAGGGGGACGCTCATTTTGCCGATGGCTCCAGATTAACAGAGCCCTGGGCAGCTCCTAGGAGCCAGCCTGGGTCTTTTGGGAGAACCAAGGGATCAGAAACCAGCTCACTAGTAACCCCAGGAGGGCTGAGATGCACGTGCCCCGGGAATAAACCCTGCTCTGGTAAAGTCACAGGGACCAGAGGGGGTCGTGGTGGGCAGGCAGCTGAAGAAAGGCAGAAAACAAGAGGTAGGTTTTGCTCGTGAGCTAAAATACTCCCGATCTCCACCAGCTCTGCTCAGAAAAAAGCGAAAGATCTTGTGCAAAGCAGATTCCTGCTCACGACGCTTTGCTAGGGAATGAAGGGGATGCTTTCCTCCATGGGAAGGTTTCAAAGAAAAGATGCTTTGTCTAAGGAGGAAACGCCCTTTCCCATATTCCCACATTTCCCCAGTTTCCCAACTCTCTGCAGCCGGACAGTTTTCAGCTCTTACATTCACACTCCCCTTCTTACCTGTCCCTCAGCAGAGGAGCCAAAACCCCTATGCCCGTGGATCAACTGCATTTCCTTGGATTTTTCTAAGCCCCCAGACAAAGCCAGTTTAAGTCCAACCAGAACTGGGGCCTTTCTCCAGCAGAAAATTAAAGACATAAAAAAATTAATAACCCCCCCCCAAAACCTGGAACCCGTATTTCCTCCTGGGAATGCCACTGACTTCTAGCAACAAGTGAGCTTTATGGTTGAAAAATGTCAACTCCCAGCTTCTCCTCCCTGTCTCCTCCTCTTCTTCCCATCAGCTTCTGGAAGCCACAGTCCTCACGGTGCCTACGGTGCCCTCGGTCTGCTAAGAATTACGGCGGATAACGAAGCTCCCGGCGATCGCCCGGGTATCGCTGGGCTGGGCTGGAGCCGGCGAAGGGACTTTGCTCCACCATGGTGAAAGCTGCCCGTCATGGAGAACAGCTCGGCCGGGCTCCCGCGGAGGCGTGGTACCCACGACGGGTCCGGGGATGCAATTTGTGTCCGGCCGCCTCTTGGCTTTAAGCAGCACAAATGCAAGAAGCGGAGATGGGGAAAGCAACGGCTCCATGTCACCCCGGGGTTTGGGAGGGCTCTTCCCCTCTCAAGGGCAAGGGCAGGGGCAGGTCTGGCCACGGCTCTCGGGATAGATGCTGTGGGGGTCGCAGTGCAAGCCCACCAGCTCGGAGGGGTTCAGAGGGTCAGGCATCCTTAAAAGAGCAAGCCTCCAAGCCGTTGGATTCAAAGGCAGGTCCCTGCAGTTCAGAGCCAACAGATCAGCGCACGGGAGGCTCGTGCGGAGAAGGAAGGATGCAGTGTTTCGGCAGGGAATGAAATTCCTCCATTATTTTAATGCAGGGGATCTCTATTTGGTGTCAAGTGCGAGGGGCAGGTTTCCTTAGCCTGTCCCTTCCTTCAGTCCCAGGCACTCTTGCTCTGCCCGCGAAGCTCCGAAGGCACGCCGTTGGCTGCAAGGGGTCTCGCAGACCAACTCGGGGATCGCAGAGGGGCTGAGGGAACCCAGCACTGTCTGGATGTGATGGGGTTTGGTCCCAGCCTCCGACTGGCCTGGCTTGTCAGCGCGTCGCTGGGTCGAGGCAAGGCAGCATCCTCCCGGCCATGACAGCGGGGTTGCTCTTCAGACAGTCAATCCCAGCCTGGATTTCCTTTGGTCCATGAGACGAGCATGTTGTCAGACGTTCACCTTCACCAAAAGACATCTGAGATGGCAGAAGCCAGGCAGGAGCCTCGGGAGAGCAGCGACTCGGGGCCAGGGGATGGCAGTGGGGGCTTGGCAGAGATTTGGGGCTGGGAAGAGGCAGCCAAGCGAGGACGGGGCAAGCCGAGCCGGCATCAGGGAGACCTGCTCTGGGAACAGGGCCGGGAACCAGAAGAAACCAGGATCAGAGGGAACTGCTGTAGCTGGAGGTGCTGCTCCAGTTAATAATAAGTAGCATCGTACTGCGGGCAGCCGGTAGGTACCCTCCCGGGGCAAAATACCAATGGCTGAGCACAGGATTTTGCCCGGGCTGCTTCCGTTTGCAGGGCTTGCTCTAATAAACACGCACTGTCCCCGCAGTAGAGGAATTGAGCTCCTTGGAGGTGTTTCCTTGAGGATGGGTCCCTGCTCTTGCCCCTCTGTAAGCTGCCCAAGCCTCTCTCCTCGTCCTGTTTACACGCTGCTTGGGTTGTAGCACAGCAGGTTGAACTCCAGGTTTTCATCCCAGTGCCGGAGCAAGACAAAGAGCTGCTGGGCTGCGGCTTTCACCGTGGCCAGGCTGTATCCCTCCGGGAAGTCCTGTTTGCTCAGCCAGAGGCTGGCCTTGGCAGCCACCAGCTCCCACTCGATGAAGTAGGAAGCCGAGCTGTGCTCCAGCCAGGCCAGGGCCACCGCCGTGGCCCACAGCATCCCCTCTGGCTCCGTCTGCTGCTGCAGCTCGATGTCAAAGAGCAATGCCTGGACCTCGGAATCGTCCGTCTCCGAGCCCTGGCCGCTGTCGGCTTGCCACTCGGCCGAGGCTGGCGTGCTCTCCGGGGAGGAGAAGCGGCGGATGGTGATGGCCGGCGGAGAGAGTTCCTTCTCAGCTTTCAGGGCTTTGGAGATGCTTTCCACTGCGCTGCCGGAGAAGTGGCGAAGGCGGACAGCGTCTTCCACGTGGCTGCCGGGTCCCTCTGGCACCGCACCCAGAGCGACGTCTCTGGTGGTGGGACTCTTCCTGTGGCCATTGGGAACCAGGAGCTGCTGGCCGGAGCAGAGGCTTTTGTGCTCCCCGGAGGGGCTGGTCTTCTTGGTGTTGTGGGAGCTGGAGGGGCTGAGGGCAAGGCGGTGGCAGGCAAAGGGAGATGTCCGCTTCAGCTTCTCCATGGGGATGTTGACAGCGTCGCAGAAGGCCGAGTTCATGAGAAAGGCACCGCAGGCCAGCTGCAGAGATGCCTGCAAGGGACAGTGGGCACATAAAGAAGCTCTGAGATACCAACCACTTCTGGGAAGTTCAGGAAAAAGGCATGCATGGAGGGAGCAGCCCTCCATCTCTGAGCAGACCATCGGACGTGGCCATCAGAGACAGCAAGAGGCAGGATCCGGGGGGACCCTCCTGCCCTCTGCTCCCCTGCAGTGACCATGCAACACCAGCAAGACCCGGGAACGAGCTGCTCACCAGCGGAAGGTAGTCTATGTTCTCATTGTCGCCCTCGGAGCTGGCTTCGCTCACTCTGCTTGGAGATTTACTCATGAACCCTTTGGCGGCTCGAGTCAGCAGCCTGGTTTTATTGAGGGTCAGCCTGCAGGAGGACGGAAGGGAGGCCATAACCTCTGTGCCCCTCCTGACGCCCACCCTCCCCTCCAAAAACCATCCCTCATCCCCAGACACTGGCACCACGCTCGGTCCCGGCTCCGACCGCTAACCCTGGGGTGTCCCTCCTCTCCCCCTCGCTTGTGTTTGCATCGGACCCACGGAGGTGCAAGACATCTGCTAAGGTCAGAGGAAGGTCGAGCTGGCCCGTACCTAGCAGCAAAGAGGCTCTCGATGGATTTTTGGGCTTGTGCAGAGGAAGCAGACAGGCTCTGTAACGGCCCTGGGAAGAAACACAAAGCTGAGGGTAAAACGAGGTGCTTCAGGAGAGCTAAAGGGAGCAGAGTCTACACGCTGGGACATGGGGTGGCTTGTTCCGCTGCTGAGTCTTTGGCAAAATCCCTCCTCTCCCCTTGTCTCATTTTTCCTACGTGGATAATGAAATTCCCACACCTTTCAAAAATGAACCTGGGGGAAATCTATACCAAAGGCCCCATCAAGCTCTGTCCTTTGCACCCTGGAAGGAGTCAGGTCTTGTGCTCACAGGCCTAATTTTAGGTCATAAGTTTTTATAAAACCCCCGAAAACTCAGCAGAAGTATTTGGTGAAGAGCCCAAATCATGGACTCGATGTACCTGCACCCTGGCAAGTACCGTCAGCTCTTTCCCCTACCTTCGGGGAGACCGCAGCGCTCCCAGCCAGAGGAGGAAGGGGTGCTGCAGGGCGACAGGCTGCTCTCCTCTGCATCTGCAACGGAGGAACCACATCAGCAACGCCACCCAGCCAAAATCGCCGTCATGCCACCGCGCCAGGCTGCGGCACGGCCACCCTCCCTCTCTGCGGCGTTATCAGGTTAATGAGCCTGATCAGGGGCGATTTTAATTCAGCTGCAGATCTGACAATGCCAGACAAGGTCCAATCCAACTTGTCTTCATTAGCGCAGGATTTGGTGACAAGCGTCTCACATCCCCTTGCCTCTAATTACACCCGGTTTCGTCCCTCATGTTATCTGCGTTACGGCTGCCAATTAACTTCCAAACATTGTCAGCAGCCACTGCCTGCGATTTGGGAGTTTCAGGGGAAATTGCAGCTTCTTCCCCAGTTAAGGAGATGGACTCCAGCCAGAAGAAAAAAAGACCAGAGAAGATGTCCGTTCATAGACTAAACCACCGAGACCCGTGACACCAGGAAGGAGATACAACCCCAGGGAATCTTACTCATGCCGTAAAATCCATCGTCTCCGTTCTGGCCGCAGGCTGACTGGGGACGTCCAGGGGAAAAGCCGCGATGCCTTTTGTTTCCCGAGCTCAGGCTCCTCTGGCTGCCTTGCTTGGATGCTGCCCCTTGGCACGAGAAGGGAATTGCCAGCGTTAGAGAGGGACTGGCACACGCACGATGGCAACAAAACCCACAGACTGATGAGCTTGGTCATCTCTGGGCATCCAGACCTAAGAGTAGACCTTTTGCCTGGCCGTGGGGAAGAGGTTCTTGCCACCAAGAGCAGCAGGCACGCCGTTAGGCTCAGCCATGGCCTTGGGTATGTAGGTCTGGTGCTGAATTGAGCTGTGGCTTCATAGGCTTTGCTCTGAGCGAGGTTTCTCAGGTAACACCCTCCCTCCCAGGACAACGTTTCACCCCTCCGCCGGCCCCATGTTACCCGTGCGGGTGTACTCGACGACAGCGGGCAGGTAGGCGTTGGTGCTCAGGTCCACCGGCATGAACGCCGTGTACTTGCTGATGACGTTGCAGGCCTTGCTGGTGTGGACAGCGTTGACCTGGTACCGCCGCCCGGACCCTGCCACGTGAGAGACATCAGGCTTAGAGTCCACGTGCTCCACGGGCTCCATCCACCACCCCTCGGACCCAGATCCCAGACGCATCTCCATGCTTGGGCTCCATGCCCAGCAGGGACTGTACCCCTCTAAACTCTGCCTACTGTGCTGCTTCTGCTCTTATTTTACATGCACAGATGCACTTCGTGGAGGAGAAGTTTGACAAGACCCAGGGACACGTGCAGCCCAGAGCAGCGATGGATGTGTGGTTGCTGTCGGACCCTCTGAGTTTGATGCCACCTCCCAGCTCCAAGTGACTAACGCCTTAAAAATAATCACTGTCACCCAACGTGTGAAGCAGAGCATGAAGGAGCACGAGCTCGAGCACATTGATGTGCAGCGAGGCTGCAGAAGCAGGAGAAAAGTGCAAGGCAGCTGGAGGGGGCTGTCATTTAGGAACTACGTGAGACATTCCCTAATATTTCACCACTGCCTGCCCTTGCAGGCCCAGAGGCTGCTGAAGCTGCTGGAAAGCCCACCCCGAGGCAGGGCAGGGTGTGCCCACCGCCAGCTTGCAGGCTGGTCGGGAGCTGCGCGTTACCGTGCTCGATTTCACACTCCTTCTCGGCAAGCTGCTCAAAGTCCCGGATGACCGACTTGGCTGCCAGGTGGTGGAAGGTCTCGCTCCACAGGTCTGCGTCGCCGTCCGCCCGGCTCTCCCGCTCTCGGAAGAGAGGGCGGATATCAAAGGCGACTTCCCACTGCACGGGCTCGTTGCTCCTTAGCCCCTTCACCACCGCCTTGCAGAGGGTCCTGGGGGAGTGCGGGGAGCAGCGGGCAGCGCTGAAGTCGAAGTCCTGGGGCTCCCAGTCGGAGGAGGTCTCCGTTTCAAACGTGAAGGAAGGGTGCTGGGCAGACTCTGCAGAGAGGGGAGAGGCGGATAATTAATCACATCTGTGGGAGCTGAATTCCCCACTGCCACCAAGAAACCATCATTAATACTTCCTAATTTTCACACGGTGACACAGAACGCGATGCAACGCCACCGAAACCCCGGCACGGACAGGTGAGGCTGGCCATGCCTCCCTCTCTCCCCAGTTACCCAGATCCCCGGGGCTCCGGCTGTCCGACGAAGACCTGAGGCTCGCGCTGGCATCGAGCGGTCCCAAGCCCCTTCCCGGAGCCACCTGCTGCAGCCCGTCCGGCACTGGCGGGCAGTCGGCGTCGTGGCAGAAGGACACGCGGCTCCAGTGGAGCAGGGAGGGCCGCCGGGGGCCCGTGCCGCGGACCCTCCGC